GTTCACAGCAACAGTATTCAGAAGACCCCAAAAGTGGAAACAACACAAGTATCCATCAACTGACAAATGGAAGTAATATGTAATATATCCATATACTGGAATATTATTTGGCCATAAAAAGAATGAAGTACTGGGGCGCCTGGGTGGCTCAGTTGGTTAAGCAACTGCCTTCGGCTCAGGTCATGATCCTGGAGTCCCGGGATCGAGTCCCACATCGGGCTCCCTGCTCGGCGGGGAGTCTGCTTCTCCCTCTGACCTTCCCCCCTCTCACGTGCTCGCTCTCTCTCATTCTCTCTCTCTCAAATAAATAAATAAAATCTTTAAAAAAAAAAAAAGAATGAAGTACTGGGGCAGCTCAGTTCATAGAGCATGTGACTCGTGATCTCAGGGTCATGAGTTAGAGCCCCACATTGGAGGTAGTGTTTACTTAAAAAATAAAAAAAAAATCTAAAAAAAAAAAAAGGAATGAAGTACTGACACATACTACAACATGGATGAACCTTGAAAACATTATGCCAAGTGAAAGGAACAGAAACAAAAGGCCCCATACTGTATGATTCCATTTATGTGAAATGTCCAGAATAGGCAAATCTGCAGAGACAGAAAGTAGATGAGTGATTGCCAAGGGCTGGGGGGAGGAAGAGTGAGGAATGACTGCTAATGAGTATAAGGTTTCTATTTGGGGCAATGAAAATGTTTTGGAATTAGATAATGGTGATGTTTGCAGGACCTTGTGAATATACTAAAAACCACTGAATTACATACTCTAAACGTATGAATTTCAGGGGCACCTGGCTGGCTCAGTAGGTAGAGCAGACTATTGATCTTGGGGTTGTAAGTTCAAACCCTGTGTTGGGTGTGGAGATTACTTAAAAATAAAATCTTTACCAAAAAAAGTGTGAATTTCATGGATTGTGAATTATATCTTAATAAATTTTTAAATGAAGTTCTTTAAATTATCTTACCAATATTGTTGTAATATAAAGCACTAATGAGGTCATTGTAGAAGCCAGTAAATATAAAACTGATTAGGAAGATATTTCAAGGAAAAGTTTATAGAGTTGAAGTGGCAAATTAATAGCACAACTCTGAGTTGATTGGGAAAGTAGAAATAAAAAATGAAGCTGAAGAAAATCCATGATTAATGAAAAAGTATTCTAGATCCACAAATTTAGGTGAGAACAGAGGAAAAAGAAACTAATTCCTTATTTAGTAATTTTTCCCTTATTTGATTACAACCCTGAGTCACACCACCTCAGAGACACAGGAAGATTATAAGAATGGCATTATTATGATTTTATTTTATTTGCAGCTCAAGGAGATAGAACAAGCTGCCCAGCTAGCTTCACACAGTAACTTAATGATGAAACCAAGAAATTTCACTGGAGACTTTCTCCTAATGTTTTACCTGCTTGCTATTTTCATGTTGAAAATATCATCTATGTCAACTTTAAAGTGACATAATGAAGCTGTATTTGCATCCCTTAGTCTAAACTTATCAAGAATTACTGTTAAGTATGGAAGCCAATGTTTATTCCGGCTTGCATTCTTTTTTCCCCCAAGTTTTTATTTAAATTCCAGTTAGTTAAGATACAGTGTTAAATTGGGCGCCTGGTGGCTCAGTTGGTTAAGCGACTGCCTTCGGCTCAGGTCATGATCCTGGAGTCCCGGGATCGAGTCCCGCATCGGGCTCCCTGCTCGGCGGGGAGTCTGCTTCTCCCTCTGACCCTCCTCCCTCTCATGCTCTCTGTCTCTCATTCTCTCTGTCTCAAATAAATAAATAAAATCTTTAAAAAAAAAAAAGATACAGTGTTAAATTAATTTCGGGTGTAGAATTTAGTGATTCAACACTTACATACAACACCCGGTGCTCATCACACGTGCCACACTCCTTAATCCCCATCACCTATTTAACCCATCACTTCCCCCTCCCTATAGTTAAAAGTCTGTTTTTTGGTTTGCCTCTTTTGTTTCCCTCCTATATTCATTTATTTTGTTTCTTAAATTCCACATGAGTGAAATCATATGGTAGTTGTCTTTCTCTGACTTATTTCTCTTAGCATAATACTCTCTAGCTCCATTCAGGTCATTGTAGATGGCAAGATTTCACTTTTTTATGGCTGAGTAATATTCCATTACACACACACACACACACACACTACATCTTTTTTTTTTAAGATTTATTTATTTATTTGAGAGAGAGAGAGAGTGTGCATGCATGAACAGGGGGAGGGGCAGAGGGAGAGGAAGAGAGAATCTCAAGCAGACTCCCCACTGAGCACAGAGCCCAACATGGGGCTCATACCATGATTCTGAGATCATGATCTGAGCTGAAATTGAGAGTCAAACGCTTAACTGACGGAGCCACCCAGGCACCCCACACTTCATCTTCTTTATCCATTTATCAGCTGATGGACATTTGGGATCTTTCCATAATTTGGCTATTGTAGATAATGCTGCTATAAACATTGGGGTGCAGGTATCCCTTCAAATTAGTATTTTTGTATTCTTTGGGTAAATACCTAGTAATGCAATTTATTCTACCTTGCATTCTTATATGAAACTGTCTAAAAACTTCTGGTTAGATGAGAATATCCCACTTCCTGGCTATCTGGGAATTAAAATTTAAAATGAAATTAAAATGTTTCCTTACCTGAAATTAAAGAATAATTTCTACCTAAATATCCCAGCCGCAATGAATGAATGAATGAATGAATGAAGCTATTTACCACACAATTGTGAGGGACCAAGTTCCTTCAATACAGCCATTCTCTCACATTAAACACAAGACGCAGACAATGATATCATCTCATTGGAGATTTATGGGAAGAACATTTTGCAAGAACACTTTATGCAAATACCAGGACTTGTTGCTTTAAAAACAAGGGTCAGCATCTTCATTAGCTCTTCTCCTTTCTGGGACCAGGAATCACAAGGAGTATTTGCGTAATGCTTTCATATCTTCATTTTACTTAATCCTCTGATTACAACAACCCTATGAGAGTAGAGGTTGGGAATTATTACATTATTCTCCAGTTTACATTTTAGGAAACAGAGATTCAGAATAGGGATTTGCTCAAAGTCACCAGGCTGGTCAGTGGCAGAGCTGGGACTCAAGGCTAGATCTTCTATTACCAGATCCCATCTTCTTTTCACCGCATTCCCTACTTCAGGTAAGCTATGTCAGAGGCAGCCTTAGGCATTCTAAAAGACGCAGTAAGAGGAAGGAAAGAAAAGTAGTAAGGAAATAGGGACGATGACAAGGGGAGGAAGTGTCTTATTAGGAAGTGAGCTAACCACTTTCAATTGCCCCAAATGCCCCTTAAGTGGCAACAGTGCTAAAGTTACTCTGCTCTGTATCTTTTGCCCCTAGGTCTACAGCTACTGTTATTTTACTAGTTAAGAATCATGTTGGAGACTTAAACGCCTAAAAGAAATCTTACGATTTTTCTCCTCTGAGGTTCTGACAGCGGAACTTGGCCCCTCCCACAAAGGCCCGTGGCCCCTAGGTCTCGATCACATTAAATGCTTTGGGGGTCGAAGAAACCTCCAAGTGTAGGGGGAACCAAGGGAAGAGGGTTTGGGTTGGGGGAGAGACTAAGGTTGGGTTAAGGAGAGGGGGAGCCTGCGGTGGAGCTGTGGTTGGGGGATGTGGGTTTTGTGGCTGAACTCAAAGGTGGGGTAAGAAACCAGTATCGGAGCTGACTGTCAGGGCGGAGTTCACAGGTCTAAGAAAGGATAGGAGAGCTGAGGGGCTGACCCGGCTGAAGAAAGACCAAAGAGGAGGCGAGGCTGGGTGGTCTTCGCGGCGCGAGGATGGAGGCGAGGCCCCCCTCACACGTCTATGATTGGATGCTCCCTTAAGTCCCGCCTCCCCAGACCCCCTCTCCCCTCAAGCCCCGCCCACGCCGCCGGGCGCGCGCCTGGGGAGCCGGGAGGGGGACCAGGCTGGAGAAGGGGGAGGGGGAGAGGAGAGGCTCGTGCACGCGCTCCACTGGCTGCGGGTGCGCGAGCAGCGCGCTCCCGCCGCCCGCGTCGCCATCTTTTCCCCCTCCGTCTGTCTGTCTGCCGTTGGCTTTGTCCGTCTGCAGCGCCGCCCCTCGGCTCCCCGCCACCGGCTTGGCTCGAAGCCGCCCTCCGCCTGCCGGGCCCAGTCCCGGAGAGCCCCGGCCCGGCCGGCCCGAGCTGCGGCCCGGGGCCCATTGTCCGGCGGTCCGTCTGTCCGGAGGCGGGGCCCAGGGACGCGGAGCGCCGAGGCGCCGGGTAAAAAGACCCCCGTCTCCTTCTCTCCGGGGCTAGGCTGAGGATGCCGGGGCTCCTCGCCCTCCCCCTTGTTTGCCGGCTGTCGGTCCTTTTGTCTGTCTATGTCTGGGGAGGGGGCTCCGGCTCGCTCTGGCCGGGGGGGCGGGGGCAGCCCCCAGCGCCGGGTTCCCGAGACGAGGCCGGACCCGGCTGGCTCCGCACCGGCCGTTCCTCTTTCAGTCCCTCTGGCGGTTTCGGGCGCGGGAGGGGCGTCCGCGCCGCCGCCCTCCCGCCGTGGGCCCAGGTCGGGCAGGGCCGGGCACAGCCGGGGCGGCCCCGGCGTCTGACAGGCTGGGGTGGAGCTGGAGGAGGGGGAGGATGGGCGTGGGAGTGCAGACCCGGGTGTCAGTCCCGCGTCGCGGTCTCGCAGAACGGCTTCTAAATTTAGATTTCTGAGAAGACTGTATCGTCTGAGGGTTTGTCTGAGCCATCTCGGAAGACCTCTGGCTTTTGTCGATAATTCCTGGGAATCTACCTGTGCTCATGCTTGAAGAAGCCAAAGGGACCATCTCGGCTGATTGTACACATGCTCCAGACCAAAGAAAGTGGGAACAGGGTCAATGAGACAGCTACGTGACCAGTTTTCTTGTCCTCTCCTTTTTGGCAGATACAAATCACTGGGATTCAGGCGAGTTTACTTTGCTCCGTGGGAACTGCACCAGAGCTGGAGGTGGGAGTGCACCCCCTTTTTTTAAAGATTGGATTTCACCTGTTTTTTTTTGTTTGTTTGTTTTTCCATGCTCAAGTCTGTGGTGTGTTCTGGAAGCTGCAACCTAACACCTGTGGGAGAGCAGGGACAATGTTAAGGGGAGATGTGGTCCCCCTCCAAAGGACTCTTAACCTCGTTCTAAAGACAAAGCTTCCTTCCTTTTTACATAGAACATCCCTTGTAAACCTGAATCTCACCGTTTATCTTTCTTCCTGTCCCGTTTTTTCTTCCAGATGGTGATGTTCAGGCGGCTTTGCATTTACATTTTTGTGTTGGTTTTAGATTCGGGCTTGGGAACTGAGGCAGTGTTAAAAGTAAAACTGAATGAGTGATCTTTAGGGCAATGTGTCTATGAATTTTAGCTTTTACTGCCTATAAAACTGTTGTCTAACCTCTGAGATCTTGCTGTGTAGTCAAGAATGCACTTACATTGCCGTTTATGTACGTATCTATTTTCTTATTTATTTTTTAGAGTCCACGATTCCACAGGCTTTCTTTTTTTGAGGGAGGAAAGGGTGTTTGCTTGTTTTTTTCCCTTAATCCCTCAGGTGTGAAGTCCCATTGGGTACCCTCTGGTCAGTTCCCCATTCGGCCACTAGGAGGATTGTGAGATGCAGTGGACACTGCCTATTTAAATATGCATATACTCATCTGTGTTTCTGACTTGTAGCTTTAGTATTGAACTGTTGTCTCACCAAGATGATCTGAATTGAGCCTGTATCAAGTTATTTGATCTTCATTCAGAAGGATCTTCATTACTTTTATCTCAGTTTCAGTTTCTGATCTTGATGAGAAAATTTAAGGATTAGTTAATATTTTCATTTTTTCCCTTCTATAATAGAGAGGTGTAGCTCTGCAAATTTTAGAAAAAAATGATAGACAACCTGCATTTCATTCAACTTTCTACTTTGTGATTCCACAGTTATAGGAAAAGACCCAAAATGAATATTCCTTCACTGCTTCCATTAATAAAGTAACTACTTGATTAGAAAGAAATGACCTATGCAAACAAAACTTAGAACAGAGAATACATACCATTAGCACTCAGCATATTGCCCTCTAACTAGTTAACATTGATTTTTACTGTATACATTTGGAGTTGGGCTTTTTTGTTGTTGTTTTGTTGTTGTTGTTGTTATTTTTTAATTTAAGGTCTGAAAAAGAACTGTGTTTGATATGCAGATATGATAGAAGACTGCCTGAAAGCTGCTTCCTTTGCCACTTCCTGTGGAGGCCTGTCTTTGCCATTTGCGGTTTCTTTCTTCTTTTGGTAAGGGGAGGCAGGATCTGATTACAGGTCTGAGGTCCTTTCTAGCTACATCAAGGAGTTAGTTGGCATAACAAGAGATGAGTCTTCACTAACTGGAGTGCAAAGTATCGTTAGCAGTAGCCTCTCATAAGGCCTCTTAAGTCATTAAACTACTTGCTTATTCAGTGTAAGTACAATTTGAAAAGGCAGGAACTGAAAGAAAATTTAGAGGGTGACTAGGTCCATATTCTTGTCTTTGGTAGGAAAGAGAATCTCTCTTTTTAATTTGTCTGTTTATTCACTGTGCCTTTCATAGAAAATTTTACAGTTTTCACTACTAATCCATTTCAGACTCTCTAACAACACTTACTGCTGGGAAAGTCTTATAAACTAACCAGGAACCTCCAAGCTTAAGTATCTGTTCCCTCAAATTTCAGGGAAGCAGATGCAGGTCTCTGCAGCACTTCTCATTTGGGGAGCTTTTCTCTTTGTTCTTCCCACTGATCTCTTTGCTACATAGAGGCTGGATTGAAAGGAGGCACTAAAGTTATTAACTTTGACCAGCACTTCAGAGCATGTGAACAGAGCCAGATTGATGTTCCACACTGGGGTGTTGAATTAGTACTCAACAGTGTGGATGGCATCTGGCCCTTCTGGTGAGAGCTCATCTTCAACATTGGAAGCCTGATTGGATTTAGTGCCCTGTCATCCACAGTGCCCAGCACTGTGCCAACCCTACTAGATAGAGGCTCTATTTTCCATGTGGATCTCATTTATAGATGCCTAAAAGTTTTGAGACGTTTCCTGTCTCACAGGAATGTGATGCTTTGTCACCTCCAGACAAGATGACTTTTCGAAAAAAACATCTGGAGGCTCCCATTTGTGCAGATTGCAAGGCTTGACTTCCAGTGGGCGTGTAACATGTGAGCTGCCACCCTCTTTTGCTTCCTTTTGCTTCCTTTTGCATTCACAGGGGTTATCCCTTTGAGCCTGCTGTGCTTCTAAAGCTGTTTGCCTAAGTTTTTTGCTTCCTTTTCTATCCTGTGACCTGGATCATGATCACTTAACAGTATTCTGGATTCCGCAGATAGATTTAGAGTGGAATTCTCTAATGGAATCCTTTGAAGGAGTCCCCTCTTAAACTTCTTGGGATCTTGATGTTGTGCTAGAGATCTATTCATTTCTTTCTTTTTAAAATTCAATTATTTATAACTGGTGAGTTTTATATGCTCAGTAACTATTTTTTAAAGTCGTTTTTAATTTTGTCTAATTTCTGGGAAAAATGACATGTGCTAACAATATCCTTTTTATTGTAGGTCAGCATCCCGCAAGGAGGTAGTAATATATCCAGTTGTGAAACTGGGAAAGGCCAGAGCTCTCGGATCAGGGAAACATGTCCCGTCGGAAACAGACAAATCCGAATAAAGTTCACTGTGAGTACTGGGTTTTGTCTTCTGGAACCTGGGAACATTGAGGGTTGAAATGAAAGAGTAATCTGAATTTAGGTGAAAGGCTCACACTAGTTTGTGAAGGAAAAAAGGGTTAAAGAGATTGAACAGGATGGGTTTAAAGTACGTCTGGTTGCTGGAGGAGGTGTTAGAAACCTGTTTTAGTAGGTGAACTTGATTCATCCTTAGTATTCACATTAACAAACATTTATAGGATATCTGTACAAAGCTTTGTGCTAGATGCCAGGGCTATAAAGCAATGTAGGGATATATAAGGCTGTAATGTAGCCACAGATACATAAAGTAATATCTAAAAACACAAGATAGTATATGCTGAGTGCCATATAGGGGTCCTGCAGACTGTGTGTACTACGGAAGTTAAGAGGAGGGAGAGACTTCCATGGACTGAGGAAGCAGGGAATGCTTCATGGAAGAGGCCCTAGACTGTGAACTTGAACTGGGCCTTAGAAGGTAGGAAGTGGATTTTTTAAAAAGGAATAAGGAAGAGGGAAAATCAGATGGGGAAATGATATGAGCAAAGATACAAGAAGGAATGCACAGGGGCTCCTGGGTGGCTCAGTTGTTTGAGTGTCTTACTCTTGATTTTTGGCTTAGGTTATGATCTCAGGGTCGTGAGATGGAGCCCTGCATTGGGCTCCATGCTCAGCACGGAGTCTGCTTGGAATGCTCTCTCTCCCTCTGCCCCTCCCTCCACTTGGATATGCATTCTCTGTCTCTGTCTTTCTCTAAAATAAATAAATAAATAAATAAAATCTGTTTAAAAAAGAAGGAATGCACATGTTCAGGGGATAAGGAGACTTTGTATGAAGCGGCAGTTTTATTTATCCAGATGTCATAGGACGCAAGATGAGGTTGGAGATGTTTATACCGTAGAGGCCTGAAGCCCAGTCCAAGTTCATACTTTATACTGTGGACTATAAGGAGGTACTGAAGGTTTTCAAGCAGAGCAAGTGGAGTGACATTTAGAATGCAGTGTTTTAGGACTATGAAGCAGTGTGTGGGATGGATCAGATGAGAGAAAGACTAGTAACAGGGAAACCAGGTAGGCATTATTGCCTTTCATTGTTTCTCAGCAGTTTTATATGTATGTTTTATTTTATCAATTAGACTGTAAAATTCTAGAGGGTAGAGATTATGTCCCATTTATATTTCCTGCTATTCCTCTCTACTTCTAGCACTGCTTATAGAGGATGTTCAAAAGTGTCTCTTTAAATTAACATTAATATGTCTATGCAGATTTGATGGAATTAACCAATTTCCTGTGATCTGGGCAGATAAGCGTCCTCACCCAAATGTTTTAAAAGAGAACCAAATAGCACCCTATTATTATGGAGGACTGACTAAATAAGGTACAGCAACATCTGAAGAGAATTCAGTGGTATAATTATGACGGGTTTTTTTCTTGAGGACAGAACTGTACATATGAGAGAATAGATTAGTCAAGGAGTTTAAGATAAGAGGATTAAAATTTATTAAAAACACACTGGATGCCAGGTACTATGTACCTTAACTTATTGGGTAATTTCAAGAGTGAGAGAGGAAACAGTAGGAACAGAGGAATTAGGAGGACTTTAACATTGTATAGGTTAATGAGATTAGGGTGGCAAACCTCCACATACAATTAATTCTTCAACTTAAGTCTTGGAAAGGTTTTATAAGAGAACAAGTTTGATGCTACTAGGAGTATATTCTGGAATAGGTGGATGTGAAAGTCTGCTTAATACAAACGTGAATGAGTAGTTTAGGAAGGGTTTAGAAATTGCTGCTAGAAAGTGAAATGTCATGGGCCTGAATGTGAGGATTGTCAAGAGAGATATCTCTAGCCTAAGTAATCCAACCCAGAGGTTTAGGAGGATAGTCTTCTCCTCTCTGGTTGAAAATTAGTATTAATAAAAGACACAGATGTGACCCCAAGAAGGCAGGGCAGGAAAGGTACTCTTAGTAGAGATGAGGGGTTCACAAATAAGGCAGTCATAGGAGTTGGGCATTTACTTATAAAAGCCGCCTGTCCAAAAAGACTTGGTTAGATTTAAGGAGAGTAGTTGGCCTAGATGATGGCATGATTGTGATAAGGCCAGGGGAAGCCAGTGAAGGCTTCTATGGTCTGTGCCTGTGTCCACGGAGCTTATATTTGTCCGCTGAATCTCTTCCCACCATAGCTGAATGCAGGATGAGCTGGTATTGGGTCAGAAAACAGATGGACGAACAGGCCACGGAGAAGAGAGTATCACACATCCACAGTGGCAGAAATACAGTTTCCAGAGCGAGTGAACAGTGTATTGTGGTGGAGTGCATGGGACTGTGCAGGCACTATGGTGGGGACCATTAAGAGGGCTGTGAACAAAAACGTTCCGCTGCCACCAAAAAGCAGACCCCCAGGGAGGGGCTGTGTTCAGTGATGCACTGGGGTAGGGAACCATGGAGGCTTCTCAGGTAACAGACTAAGCCTGACTAAAGAAGAAAAGACACTGAGATTTGCTGGTGTCTCAGGAATTTCTGCTTATTCACTATTTGGGGACTGAAGCCGATCATACCTTTTTCAAAAGGGCATCTTCTCATTGCGCATGACAATAATGGCAAGTAGGAATAGGTAATTTCAGTCTTCTGGCCACTTGAGCCTCCTATTCCCTTGCAGTGAAATGGAACCAATCAAATGTATTGAATGTAATGCTGCTCATCTATTTAAAGTAAATGGAATGGACTCAAGGTCTGGGAGGCAAGAATGTCTGTACACGCTTTGCTGAAATGTTAAAGCCAGTCGGCACTGAGTAGAGTAATGGCTGAGCTCCATTACATCTGCCTTCCAGGAAGAAGATTGTGTGGCATGAAGCTCCAAGCCTGCCTAAAAGAATGTGATAAGAATCCCACTGCTGTGGCCTGACAGCATTTGTCAGATCCACTTTAGAAGCCAGTGGGCAGGCTACACTGGCAGTTACTTGGCTTTCCTCAGGACTGTCTCCGTATCTAAATTACCGTCATGATCTCTCCTTTTCCCAGCAACATCCAGGCTTACTCGTGTTGTTTGCTCAGTTCATTAACAGATTTGACACAGAGCTTTCTGAATAAAAGCCCAGAATTTTTAGTCTCAGAGAAACTGTGGATGGGCTGTTAGACCTTCCTCATCTCACCTCCTTCTGAGTACAAGTTTCTGTCAGCTGTTTCTAGGGAGGTTGAAAATAGAGTCTCTTGTACACTCTCATTTGGTGTGTTTATGCCAAGCAAACCACTAGGAAAAGGAAAACTTTTTTTTTTTAAGAAAAACTTTTTCTTAAGACACTTTTGTTTTCAGATTGCAAAGTACAAACAAGAATAAAAACTTTGAACTTCAATAAAAGCTTCTCGGCTTTTACAGAGAAGTAGGAAAAAAAGCCTTTAAAGTCCCTTTTCTTCCAAAAAGCACAACTTGTTTTGCCCTTGTTCGTTCTGTCAGCATCCTTGTGAGGTACATGGCTGTGTTCCCAGCATGTGGTAGCACCTTGGGTTACAGAGACTGTTACCTGGAATGGAATCCTAAGCTCCTCATTCCCAAGATTAGCTCATTTTTTTCGGAATTTGACATCTGCTCTCTTAGAATTTTTTTCAGCTGCTTGCTTTACGTAATTTCAGTCAGCCAGAAATTGCATTTATTTAATTGCATCAAGGACTCAATACAGAAAATCGTAAAATCTTTGCCTTTCTAGTAACTTTCATCCCAGGCTTCTCATCTGTTCTCCAGACTTGCTTGGATGGCCTTGTTCTTGTCTGGTCTGAAAAACCTTAGTCAAATCAAACAGTATCTTGATTTCATACCAAAAAAATAAAGAGGTGGCAGCTTGCTTTTTACTGTAGAGCTTAGATGACTTGTTCTCAACTATTAATAGACATATAAATACCATGTTAAATTAAATAAGATGGTTGCCCTACATTAATATCTAGAGACCTGAGGTTTTTTTTTAACCTCCAATAGTCTCAAGATAGAAGGAAGTAATAATTCTACATTATAAAAGCAGGCAATTATATAACACTTCTTAAGCACCAGTATCTCTGTGGATCACATTTGACTTGAGTTACTATGACATACTTTTAGGTATGTAAAAGGTATCACTACTTTTAGTTTTAGTATCTTTTAGTATCATGGTAAAAGGTATCACTGTCTTTTTGTGAAAGGATAATTCTGGACAGTGGGATTTAGAGCTTAGGTAAATAGTGACTACTGGAAGATCATTCATGTATCTTCTCCTATGAGATATGTCAAAATCACTTTTTTAATGGTTTTTATATATTTTGCTTTATATTGATATTTAAGATAGGAGTAGCCCTGAGAAATAAAGTTTCCCTTAGCCTTTTTCCCAAGTCGGGAATAGAACTAAATATAAGAGCACAGCTTTTCTTTCCAAACTGCCAAAAAGGAATAACAATTTATTCCAACTATCCTAAGTGAGATTGCCAGCAAAAGTCCTAGATAGGGATGTCGTATGGGATATACTCTTCTCTGTTCTGTGAAGGCCTAAATATTTAGACAATATCAATAGACAAAGATGTTGAGCTCAAGTTGGTGGGTCTAAACTGAATTACTACTTGATCTTGAAAGGTACTTATCCTTTTAGATGCCCTTCTCCTAATCCAATGGTATTTGCCTATTAAGGGAAAAAAAGGATTCTTCATAGGTTATAAACCTACTTTGTTTCTGAGTAGGCTTCTTTAGAGATGAGAAGTGTCACTGATGAGAATGATCTGCCCCTTGATAATTATCTGCTGGAATATAATGCCCTTAGTGCCATTTCTGCCCATGGCTTCCAGGTCCGAAAGCATGCATCTACCTAGAAGAATTCAATAACTAGTCCATGGTCTTGTGGTTACAGTGCAACCACCCTGAAGAAAAATATTTTCCTTCTGCAAAAAGGATGAGGAGGTGCTATAACAGAATTCACTGTTTGCTTTCCCTGGCAGTAATTTATATCCAGTTTGTGATTGTGATACTTTGAAAATGGACTTAAAGCAGCTTATACTTGAGGGCTGTGTGGCTAGGTCAGTTGAACCCTCACCACCTCTACTCCCACTCACAGTATTGATCAGAGTAGCCCCCGTATTAGTTAGTCCAGCCCCAGCATGGTGACTCACCACAGGGTGTCAGAACCATCAAAATGATGGGTCCCTTTGTCATTTACTGGCCCTGAGAACATTATTTTGGTATTTGAGATGTAGCATCAGTTTCTTATGGTACGAAGGTAACATTATTGCTAGGATCAGAGCCATTCTTCTCACACAGAGACAAGCGTTTGTTTTCAGCAAAACCACTCTGATGAACCATCTAACCTGCTTACAGCTCTGCTTGAAAGCAGTTTAAAATATGGATATTAGAGCTGTACAGACCTGGGTTCAAATACTTTGCTCTCCTATAAACCTTAGTTTTCTCTTAAGTAAAATTTGGGTAGGAATACCTACCACATAGAGTTTTGCAGAGAATTAAGATAGAAACTAAAAGCACTTAACATAGAGCCTGGAACTAGAACATGCCAAATAGTAATTATTAGTGTTTAACACTTAGCATATGGATGCTCACTGAATTTTTGCTGAACAAATGCCTAAGTGAATTACATGAAGTCTACTTCATATCAGTTCTTTCATTGCCAAAGGACTGATAGCACAGGTCAACTGACCATTTCTCCTACCTCATTGTATCCTGTCTTGGAACCCGAGCCTGTTTACTTTCCTTTCTCTCCAGTAAGAAAGCGCCTGGCGTATTGTCAGACATTTCACTAGGGCTTTTTATTATTCTCTCTTGGTGGCTGGAGAATGGGGACTGTAGTTTCCACTCTGACTGAGATAATGGAAACCTCTAGAAACCCAATTCTCTTTTCTCCTTATGCCTGGCCTCTTGGAAATAAAAGAGCACTTAAATGTTAACTCTTCAGTAACCACACAGATCCTAGGCAGAGTTCATAGAAAGTAAATGCATAATCAAGGACAGGTTCAGGGCTTTTGGATATTCCATACAAGAAAAGAAAACAGACTACATTGACCAAGGAAACTAGATAAAATATTATTTGTTGCAAATTAGTTGGTGTCTTTCAGGAAGTTTGTTCCTCAGCAAAAATGAGTTCATATGTTATCTGTTCTTTTAATCTATTATTCAACCAGTTGTTGATTTGCTTGTGGTTAATTCTGATAGACCTAGAAGTAGAGTCAAGGAGGAACTTCCAGAGCATGTCTTGGAAGGAGGGTGGCTGAAAGATGAGATTAGAGAGATTGTTATTTGTAAGGATTATTTGAAGCACTTGTTTATAGTAAGAGATAGACACTAAGTCAGGGCCATAATGTTAGTACACTAAGAATCAGAGATTGTGCCCAGATTTGTTGCCCTGCCTTTATCATCCTATCACTTTGCCTCTTCTGCCTCTCTCGCCCATCCTGATGGAAGGTTGGTTATAAATGGAATTGAGATACCGAAGTTAAATTTGTAAAGTAGCAATTGATTACCTTTTGAAAGGAGTCAAGATTAGGAGGATTTAAGCAAGTGATGCTTCCTAGAGCATCTGGCTTACTGCCCAGGAAGAGTAGCCACGCCCAGAAATTCCAGGAGGCAGCAAGCTGACTTAGAGATGGATGACCCCACCATAGGGTACCTGCCTGTCTCCTACCTTTGAATGGTCTGACTTTCCAACCAGCTTCCCTGGGGATATATGCTGCCCAGCTGGTGGCCTGACTATTTTTCCTTGTGACCACCAGGGGATCAAGTATTTGCTGGGCTAGAAGAGCAAGCCCGCCAGGCGATGATGAAAACTGATTTTCCTGGAGACCTTGGCAGTCAGCGACAAGCTATCCAACAACTAAGAGATCAGGACTCCAGTAGCAGTGAGTTCTGCACCTTCTGGTAATGACTCAGGGCAATGGGAGAAGAATTATCAGAGTGTGTGTGCTCTGGGGATTGTGCATGGGGGTTGGGAGGAAGACATGAAGAAGGAGATTTGTGGATCCTGTGTTCCCAAAGGTGTTCTAAGGTGTATGAGCATATGCTTATCCAGAGAGAGGACAGGTTTGGCATTATATATTTTTTTAACTCATGGACTGCAGTACTTGGCGCAGTACCATACACAGATAGGTTTGTGATGACTGTGATAGACAGGGGCATAGGGATAATTAGTACTCAACCTGTCCCTGGGCTAGGTCAAATGAAAAGAATCTCTGTCTCCTAGAATCTATTTACTCATAATTAACAAAATATAAGAGTGGCTTTAATGAAATTTTTGCTTGAGGACCCAGTTTTAATGTTATATAAGAGGATTTCCTTACTAATTATGCCTCGTATAAAATGCTAAAGTCAAAGTCAGAGCACCTGGCTGGCTCAGTTGGTAGAGCAGGTGACTCTTGATCTTGGAGTCGTGAGTTTGAGCCCCACAGTGGGTGTAGAGATTACTTAAAAAAAAAAAGAATAAAATACTAAAGTCAAGGTCTTCCCACACCAAGTCCTAAGTAAATCCCTGGAAAGAGATGGAAAAGACAGTGGCTGGTAACTAGCTGAGCCTTGTGGATCATCTGTTCCATGACCTGTCTGAACAAATACATTGAGATGTGTTATTTCCTAGGATGATTTCCTTACTTTACTAATCACATCCATCTGATATTGGTTGGTATTACTGTCAATTCAGAGTGACATTTTTTATTTTTCTCCACATTTGGGGTTGAAGAATAACAAAGAGGGAAAGAGTTCAGCAGCCTTCTAGGAACTACAGTTTCCACTCAAACTAATAATTTAGCAACAACAACAAAAAAACAATAATAATTTAGCATCTAATTGCTCAGGTACAGAAAAGTAAACCCAAAGATTTCTAGAAAACCTGTGGGAGCCACCAGTTTGAATAACAGGATAGGAATGGCAACATCTATAAAGTAAATAGGTTTCCATTCTGGAAAAGCTGCATCATCCCTCTAGATGGCATACTTATTTTTTAAAAATCATTTTAGTAGAGAGATGTGTTTGGGTTTTTGATCAGTCGTGTAATGTGTTTGATACAATGTTGTCTTAGATTAAGTTTACAAATATTCCATAAGCTGGTGAGAAAATATTGTATGATTTAATCTGTTCCAATCCTTCATTATTGAGATGAATTCAGATGAAAGCTTTGGGCTAGGGAATAAGGCATACATACCATAGATCCTTCCAGGGCCCAAATCCAGTCCACCAAACAAGTAGAATATCTAATAGAGACACATGTAACTACTAGTAGAAGATTTGGTTAGATTTTCTTATGAAGAAAAGGAATGTAATCAGTTTTGCCCAGATACTGGTGGATTTCAAAATTACACAAGGGATAGGGATAGGAGAGAGAAGATAAGAAGCACCATTAGCTAGGAAAGCTGAGTCTCACAGGTGAAAGTCTACCTTGTATTTCTCTTGCTCACAGTCAGGCCCAGGAATCCAGGATCTAAGTGTGGTTGGGATGGGGCTGGAGTCTCACAGCTTCGCTAGGCGTGGCTTCCTCTTACGATCTTCAAGGTACTAGCCCTTCTTTTTTTCCCTTTCAGAACAAATTCCCTTTTTTATCATGGTTTTTTAAAAATCTTTTTCCCCCATTTTATAAGTAATAGGGGAAAACATCAGCCCACAAAAACCTTGCAGATCCCCCAGCCACAAGCAGATCCCCCCCCCGAGCCACATCCTATCCACTAAATGAAAACAAACTCAATTTTTCCTTTAGTCACAAGAAATTATATTTTATCCTAAAGAATGGCCTGTTCCCTTCACTTAATGCAGTCAGTTATCTGTCAGATAATCCAGAGAACCAACAGAACAATGGATTTATTTAGCCTAGAATTCTAAGTTACTAGCAGAGTAAGAACACCTTGAGTCAGGTTGTACAACAAATGGCCTAAAGTTGGTTGCTGTACTCTTTTTTCCATTGGACTGAACAAACCTTCCCTATAAGGTGACATCATTTTTAACTAATTTAGCACTGCCTCCTTTCTTGGTAAGAGGAAGAAAAAACTTGGTTTTTCTCTGAGTGTGCCTTAGGGTTTGTTGGGAGAGAAGAGATTAGTGGGACTCAGAATAGTACATGCGATACCATTGGAAAAATTGTGCAGGGGGGTTATGGAGAAAAGTAAGTAATAAAATCAGTGAGAAGTGTGGGTAAGTCAGAGGTGCTGTGTTGTGGCAATGAGCATGGTGTGAGGTACGTGGGAGGTGTGATTTCAAGTATGAGATATTTGGGAATCGTGTAAGAAGAATCATTTTTATGATAATGTACAGGGCCCAATAACTATTGTCTAATGCAATTTTGCCTCAGATTTTCTCTTTAGTGTAAATGGCATCATAAACAATAGCTATAGCTCTTCCACCAACATGATTAGTACCCAACTATACAAACTGTACATTGATACAGACTCTATTACAGAAGATCTGAAAATGTTTTCCATTATAGCTACAAACTCTAAGGTGGAAAGCAACTCAAGGTGTATTCATGCAAAAATCAGAACAAGTAACCAATGTGTATGTTCCAGGTGACAGTGAGGGTGATGAAGAGGAGACCACACAAGATGAAGTCTCTTCCCACACATCAGAGGAAGATGGAGGGGTGGTCAAAGTGGAAAAAGAGTTAGAAAATACGGAACAGCCTGTTGGTGGGAATGAAGTGGCAGAGCATGAGGCAAGTGACAATAGTTCCCAAGTCCGGGAGCACCCCCACTTCCTACTCGGCCCTGATGCACTTGATCCACAGTAACGGTCTTGCCTCTGGTGATCTCCTGGGCCTTCATCTGAAGCCTTGCTTCCTTCACAGCTCCATTTACCCAAACCTCACACACAACTGTCATCACGCCAGCTTTCCTGTCCATCCACATATCACTAACCCAGGTACAGCTTCCCCACTTCTTTCCAGGCAGAATATCCACTTTTGCAAGACTATCGGCTGATTTCCTGAAGTGTATGTACTCTTGAATATGCTTGCAAATATAAGTCCAAGTGTTACCTGAGGTGCCACCTTCTCTCTAAATTGTTTCCTGAGGATTGCTGCAAGAAGCACAGCAGGAGGGAAGCTAATCCTCTCTCTGCAAGTTTACTGTGGGGGGCGGGGAATAGATCGGCTCTCCTGGGGCAGCCCTATGTCCTCAGGGCAGGAAGCCTTGGAGAAAATGAAGATAGGAGCAAATGTGATTCCCTTTCCCTATTACTTTTCCCTTCAGTCCATAATGGGAACCTAAGAATAACATGTGATATCTGGTTGTGTTGCTTTGAACAGGATGCCCTGTTACAAGAAGTAGGGGCAGGGCAAAGAGTGGTAAACAGTCTTAATGAATTGCCTACTTCTTGAATTGCAGGTCACAGGGAACTTGAATTCTGACCCCTTACTTGGACTCTGCCAGTGTCCCCTCTGCCAGCTAGACTGTGGGAGTCGGGAGCAGCTGATTGCTCATGTGTACCAGGTATGGGCTGGGGAGCCACGTGCCCCCGAACACGAGTGCCAGCAGCTTGTTTAGCCTTTGCCTCCAGCTCCCAGGGGAGCCTTGAGTTGTTGCTTCCAGTAAGACTCCACTCCAGTCCCCAGATGTTTTAAAGAATAAGTGGATATGTTGGGTAAACCTGTTCTGGGCTCCCAGATAGACACACTATGAAAATTAAGTATTATTTTTTCCAGATTACTTAATGCGTATTTATTTGTTTATTTATTTGAGAGGGGGGTGGGGCAGGGGCAGAGGGAGAGAGAGAATCCTAAGCAGCCTCCACACCCAGCATGGAGCCCAATGCAGGGTGAGGGGTTTGATCTCACAACCCTGAAATCATGACCTGAGCCAAAATCAAGAGTCAGGCCCTTAACCCACTGAGCCACCCAGGTGCCTCAATGCATATTTTAAATAGTGAAATAGAAACTAACATTTGTTAATAATGAGGCCTTGTTTTAAAGAAGAAAAAATGAGTTAACATAAATGTTTCTATAATACTAGAAAAAGTATGAATGAGGGGATCAGAAGAACACAAGCTTTTTGTGCTTTTTTTCCCCCAATCCAATTGCAGAGCACCTGTGCCTTGTGATCTGTATTAGAAAGGCATCAGCACACATGGCAGCCTGGGTTTTGCCATAAAGATAGTTGGTTCATGAAAGGAGGCCTTTCTTTAGAAGATTGTTTTTAAAAGATTGAAGAAAAGGCAAGACAAAATGCTTTTGGATACCAGTCTTCCTAACTACCTTCTACACTTGGCCTTCATTGCTCCCTTAATATGCACCTGTACCTGCACAGTGTGAGGCAACAGATAGAAATTATCCCAAGCATGAATTCTTTGCAGGTTTTGAAGAGGACTCTGACTCTGGAGCCCCGTTTTCACCAAGCCAGCCACATGTTCCAGAATATAGCCAAAACTCTAATGAAATCTGAACAATAATCTGAATGGCCTGGCCCTTTTGAAGGCCTGTTAACACAAGAGACTCTTACTTTTCCAGGTGCTAAGCAGGGAGAATATAATTGCAAATCCCTTGTTCTGAGACTAAGGAAAGGGGACATTTCACAGAAAGCAGTTTCTAAGTGGGTGTAGATTATCTTAAAGGTAGCATGAGTTGACAAATTAAAGCTCTGTTTTACAGCACACTGCAGCAGTGGTGAGCGCCAAGAGCTACATGTGTCCTGTCTGTGGCCGGGCCCTGAGCTCCCCAGGGTCATTGGGTCGTCACCTCCTAATCCACTCAGAGGACCAGAGGTCTAACTGTGCTGTGTGTGGAGCCCGTTTTACCAGCCATGCCACGTTTAACAGGTTAGCTGGTCACCTAACCCTCTTGCTCTGGGAACAAATCACTGGGTGTGGGTTCTGCTCTCCCAAATCAAAAGAAAGCCTAGAGATAGGTAATGCAAAGGCAACTGACTCTCTGGAAATACAAGTAATGAAGCCAGTAAATATGCCTGTTCCATTAGATATCCCCAAAGGGAAATGAATTCTCATTTCTTTCCCCCATTAGAATAATATTTTCATCTACAAAGAGATGGGGGGGTAGTCCAATAACATTCATGATAAAGCTTAGAGAAGTCACAGGGTGCTGAGAGGCCCCAGATGTGAGGACACAGTCTGTACTGTGTCCCAGGAAGACTGGAACTGTGCGAATTGTGTCCTAGTTAAATTTGTCTAGGGTACAATGCAGAGTCGGCCAGGGAAGGAGGGGTTAAGCCAGTGGACTGCCCTAAAGGCAGCCTCCACCTCAAGAAGGACTGCCATTTCTACAGAAGGACTGCCCTGCACAGCTCTTAGGAACACCATCAACCAGCTGGAATGAAAACTGCACATCTGGGGGGCCTATCTGGCAGTTGGCTCAGTCTCTAACTCCAGGAGGGCTTTAAAACTTGGTAGATACCCTAGCCCAGAAAAGGTGCGGGGTGGGGAGGTAGAAGAGCTCTCCCAAGTACTCAGATCTCACCCCTGGTAGTGAACTTGGAGCAACTGGCCTGGTAGGACCAGTGTAAGTCAGAGCTGAATACCTGAGCCTTGCTAGAAGGAGACACTAACCACCCAAATTTTTGTATTCCAGTGAGAAACTCCCTGAAGTACTTAATATGGAATCCCTACCCCCAGCCCATAGTGAGGGTCCCTCCAGTGCTGAGGGGAAGGACATTGCCTTTAGCCCTCCCGTGTACCCTGCTGGAATTCTGCTTGTGTGCAACAACTGTGCTGCCTACCGTAAGCTACTGGAAGCACAGACCCCCACTGTTCGCAAGTGGGCCCTACGCCGACAGAATGAGCCACTGGAAGTACGGCTGCAGCGGCTGGAACGAGAGCGTACAGCCAAGAAAAGTCGGCGGGATAATGAGACTCCAGAGGAGCGGGAAGTAAGGCGCATGAGGGACCGTGAAGCCAAGCGCCTGCAGCGCATGCAGGAGACAGATGAGCAGCGGGCACGTCGGCTGCAGCGGGATCGGGAGGCTATGAGGCTGAAGCGGGCCAATGAAACCCCAGAGAAGAGGCAGGCTCGGCTTATCCGGGAGCGGGAAGCCAAGCGGCTCAAGAGGAGGCTGGAGAAAATGGACATGATGTTGCGAGCTCAGTTTGGCCAGGACCCTTCTGCCATGGCAGCCTTAGCAGCTGAAATGAACTTCTTCCAGCTACCTGTGAGTGGGGTGGAGTTGGACAGCCAGCTCCTGGGCAAGATGGCCTTTGAAGAGCAGAACAGTGGCTCTCTGCACTGAACGCGCCTGCCCTCCCACTCACCCAGGTCCACAGGGATCCGTGCTACAGCCAACCCTCAGGGCCCTGTCCTTACTGCCGGAGGCAGGCCTGGGTTTGTTGCAGGTGGACCTAAGCACCTCTTGCATGTGGGAGCAGGATGATGGGGTCAGCAGGGAGCTGGCTTAAGGCAGCTCTAGACAAGGGAGTAGGCACTCCAGAGAACTAGACTCCCAGCCCACTGCTGCAGGGCATGCTTATAGGACTATGGGGCCCAGTGTGGCCCAGGGCAAATAAATTAATTTTATCTTTACTGGTCTTTTTGTGCTTTTCTCTCCATTTCATTCTAGCAAATGAAATGATCTAGGAAAGACATGGGTGGAAATTTTAGGCAGGGACTTCTGGCGGATTGTCTTCTGAAGGGAGGGTACTCCTCAGTTTAGGTGACCCAGTGATCCCTTGTTTGGGCCTTTACAAGTTGATGAGGCATGACATTAAAGAAAGAACCGATGCTGACTTTGTGGGTCCATTCCCACAACCCTAATGAAGATCATCTATGGCCGCAAAGGCCACTTAAACCTAGCTTACCTTTTCCAAATTCAGTAGATGCCTTTCCTCCTAACTGGCATTTTCTAAAGAGATGCAGTATTGAGGCTTAGGTATTGGCTACTTTTCCCAGCAGATTTTAGTTGCCAGACTTTAAAAATTCTATCCTAGACAGCAGTCACCTTCATTTAGGAATATGTTCATAGAAATAGCTCTAATATTAAGGTCTATAGCACCAAGGAACTCGTTTGAAAGAAGAGATGATCCATCTTCTTATTTATGTCCCAGAGCCAAGGTAGGTTAACACCCATTGAGAAAAATCCAGAATTAAGGTGAGATGAGAGCTCAAGTTGACAGTGGTCAAAGCCAGAGCAAAATGACCAGTTTGTATGTCTGCCAAACCAAGGAGGAGACAAGAGCTGAGGTCATTTCTAAAAAGTGTCTGTGATGGTACAGAACAAGTACAGAACTTTCCTTAGCCTGCACCAAAGGTTGTGTACAGTTTAGATAATTATAGATCTTGAGGTCCAGAAGGAAGTGCCCTAGTTAAGTTATAGCCAGAGAAATAACTATGCCAGGAATGTGGACCTCTTCCAATATCATAACAAGGAAACTTGGGACTCTCTTCGACCTCCATAGGTTTAAGGCTATTTAATAGTGTTAACTGACCCCCTTCCCACCATCAGACTAGGGTTAATTCCTACCAGGCAGGCTGAAATATTTCTGTTCTGGGAACACAAAAATTTTAATCTTATTCCAAAGTACTGGACATTTGAAGGAAAGTACTTAATTGCGTCAAATGTCTCTCACAGAGCTCCATACTGAAGTCCTACTTGGGACGCCTCAAAATTGTTGAGCACTCACTATGTGTCAAAGATTATTCTGAGCACTCTACATGGATTATCTCATTTAATTTTCACAGCAAACTAGGAGTTAATACAAACTCAGGAGCCCAATGCCTAGATTTAAAATGCTGCACTGCCATTTAAAAACTAACTTTGGGCAAGTTACTTAACCTGTCTTGGTTTCCCCAAACACAATATGGAAATAACAGTATAAGCAACAAATGACTATTAATATCTAATTAATATATATAATATATAAACATGTATTAATATATATAATTATTAATATATGTAACTTAGGATGGTTTGTGGCACCTAGTAAGTGCTCAATAAATGTATCTGAGTCACAATCCTGTATCTGAGTGTTTCGCCTCTTACTACTGGCAAGCTTTCTAGTTTAGAAGCAGTAGCTATGATTGCAGCTGATGTATTCCAACAATTTCTGGAAGCATTCCTGGGGAAAGAAAAGAATTGGAGAAAAGGCCAGCAGTGAGGACATCTACAAGTCCTTGTGATTGATTGTGCTAGTATCTATGTCTAGAGGTAGACTTCTGGGTCACTGAAATACACACCACCAGAACGTGCAGATCTGCCCAGAGCCCACCACATAAAGATGGGCACTATTAGCCATTACAAGCTCTCCCATGAAGGGCTTCTATCCCCCACCCAACAGCCACCGTCTAAGGCTGGGATAAGAAGAAGGCGCAAACACCAAAAGGAAAAGCTAGTAGTTTATATAGATAGATATATAGATATATAGATATTGATATATATTGTGTTTACATAGTCCACAAGTTAAATGCAGGTATCCATAAGAAGAGCATTAACAATAAAAATACAATCTGTGTGTAGCCAAGTACAGAGACTTAAAATGGTAAAACAGCAAAAAGGATCTCACAAAAGTACAAATATACAGTACAAATTGATTTATTTAAAACAGTTACAAAAAAGCACAACAAAATAGAGATTATCCTTAGAATTATTAATGCTTTGTTAAAGATCAGGTAGGATTAGAGGGTAAGAAATGGTACTGGGTGGGGGGAGCACCTGACTAGTTCTAAGGCTTTAGATACAATGCAGTTGATTACATATTAATTCAGCCATTACATACTGGGGATAGTAGTTGGGGGATCAGTAATTTATCTACAGGGAACTCCTACACAAATCAGATCCATCCAGACCTCCCCAGTGCCGTCCTTCTTTACTCCTCAGGACCCTAAAGCCACCTGATGGCAACATTCCCACTTTCCTTTCTCCACCCCATTCCCTATCCATATATTCTTCCCTCCCCTAAGGTGCTGTGCAAGCTGAGAGCAGTCTGCTCTCTGCGGCTGGAACATATACTGTTTTGGCTACAGGGATCCTGTGTGTGACTAGGAAGGTTGTAGGGGACAGCCTTATTTTAATACTTCAAGTTTGCCACGAGTACAGTCAGTCTCTTCCCAGCACAATCTGTATTCTCTCGAGTGTGAGTATCAAGCAAATGAGGGATGAACCCCGCCTTCAGCAATACCAGCAATGCACTAACCACTCACAGCTCACAACTACGTGCAAACTCCCTGTCCAGGGAGTGGGTGTAAAACCACGGTGTCACCAGCTCGCTCTCTGAAGAACCTCAGTCCCCGTGACAGTCATAAAGAGAAATAAATGCTTGCAAGTTTGACAATAGGTAAAGGCACATGGGCTGCTGCCATACACACACTGTAGACAGGAACCCAATTTGAGGCCATCTTCACTGCTGGGCATTTGCAGTAGAATGGCTTTGGGATCACACAGTCTTTGAGTTTGCAACCTACTGGGGGAGGATCTAGGCTTAACGGGAGAACTAATAAAGAAACCTTAGTGTGAAAAGTGCATTTATTACTACTGTTCCTGCTGGGGAGGCTCAGCAGGGCAAACCGCACCACCTCTCCTCCTTCCACCCCAGGCACTGTGCATAGTCTGCAGGTAAGGAGAGAGTGCAGTCGACTCTAGCATCTCGAGGGCCAGTGTCATCCTAGGCTCATATCAGGCTTCTGGCCCAAAGATGGACCCTAGAGTTGAAAGAGCAACTGATAGCTGCAAAGACCCAGATGCTTATTTTATTATTGCATAATGTGGGAGGCCTTCTCTAGCCCAGGGAAGCTGGACGGTGAAGGCTTCCCAACAAAGGGCTAATAGGTTCCTGGTCAACATCCAACCTTGCACAGTCCAGCTCTTCAACTGTAGTGTACACTTTTTCCCATCTGGAAAGTATTGTAGCTTCAGTGTAGTTTAGTAAACTTAGCCCTAGGAGGCCAGGAAGTCTCCCTAAAACTTGGCCTCTACCCAATTTACTTTGCTCTTAAGACTGTGACCTAATCTCCATGGCCAATTCAGTTAATCAGGTGTCTTTACTCCAAAGGACCCAGGCCCTTTCCCAGTCAGCCCATGTCCACCCTTCACCTCCAGTGTGATCATTCAACTCTCCAATGTGCATGCATGTTGCAGGTTTAAATCATACACCACCCTGTTTATCTCCTATGATGTCCACTGGTAAAAATAAAACTAAACCCCACTGAGGGGCTATTTCGGTCAAACTTCAAACCCTCTTCAGTCCCAGAACCAACATAACTAGAGCTAGATGGACCCTCCCTAGGATGCTGGCAAAGGCCCTAACCTGGTTCCCCATCATTTATTTTTAAAAACAGGATATAACATACCACAAAGGAAAGCAGTTAATACATAGAAAACGCCCACTAATAAGACCTGTTTGCTTCTCCCTCAAGACAGATATCTGGAGCCTAAGGGCTCCCAACAAGCACTGAAGCCACATCCCTTTGGGTTCACCAGCCCACCAGCAGCATTTCATACTATCCCTATTCAACGTGACTTTGCTATAAAGTAACAGTTGCACAGTAAGAATGGACAGGATGCCTGGATTTCCTCCATATGGTCAGACAGGGAAGGGCAGGGCGCTACAAAGGTAGCAGGCAGGACAGTGAGCAGACAGCAGCAGTAGCAAAGCAGCACAGAGCAAAGCCCTTGGTGTTATGACTGACTGGGACCAAGACTGCAGAAGGGTCAGTCCAGATCTGCTAGGGCCCCTCCCCTTGGGTGTAAGTATTCAGCTCTGAATCCCCTTCCCCCACGCCACCACCCTCCATGCCCCCCACCATGTACACCATATACATCTTGAGAGGAACGATGATCCAAGACTTGGATGTATTACCCGTCCTTTACCTGATCACTCTATCCCAAACTGGTATAGGCATTCCTGGTTAGTGCCAGAGTTAGCGGTCCTCCTTTCTATTCCTAAACTCTGGGAATTTCCTACCACTGATAAGGGAGCGGCGCTGGCCTTCTTCAATTGCCCATTTCCCAAAAAGCTGACAGCTTCCCACTAAAATGCTCACTATCTCAAAACCACTCTTAGGTCTCTTGCCAACTTAGGAAATTCCTTTAAGGAAGAACAGACCACCAGAGGCTCCTCTCATTTCTCATACCTGGGAAGAAAAGACTGAACCGGAGGGAAAAGACAAGCGGATGCCACAGCTCTGACCAAGATTGAGAGCACAGAGCTTCAGTTCCTGGGAGCCCATACTTCACAAAAGACACCTCTGCAGCTTCGCAAACGGAGCATTCATATATTACGTACACATGGCATGGTACTAGAAGAGCTGCGGCTATTCCTTCACAGGCAAGAGACAGAAGAGGAACAGCAGCAGCAAAGTCAGAGCCCAACCTGCCAACGTGCACAAGATGTCCTCTTTCCAGGATTAAGTGGAAATTACCAGGCTGGGAAGTGGAGGGTCACTTGGTTTAAACTACTATCTCTGGTTGGACATAAGTTTGCTCCCACCAGGAGGAAGCTTAACTGGTGTCCTTGGTGGACACTTCTTGAGTGTCTACTGTGTGCATGCCACTGTCTTCAGTTGGTGAGCCTTCCTATGAGGAAGGAGGT